GCCGCCGCCGCCTCCTCTTCCTCCTTCTTCTGCAGCTTCTCCTCCAGCTCCTGGCGCTGCTTCTCGTCGTCCTGCCGGGCCATGCGCTCGAAGACTTTGAACGCCTGGAAGGGATCAAACCGAGCACACCGTGAAGCCCCCGAGCTCTGCCTAGAGGGAGGACAGCCGCTTTGTCACATACGTGGGGCACATGGCGCTGTGGTTCCCTCTCTGGGCTCCGTGTACCCCTGCTTCAGCCACCAGCCAAACCTGGCACCGATCGCTCCGACGGCCACATGTCCCCAGTAAGTGCCCTGATGTCTTTGGAGAAAGCCCGGATTCCTGCACTGAAACCATTTTTCGGGATCACTCCCACAGCCTCCGAGAGGGCTGGTTATTGCAGCCCTCCCCGCCTTCCTGCACCCTCCAACACCGACAACGGAGCCGTTTGCTCCCAAACCGACCGGCCGAGGCACAAACGGGACGAGGGCAGGGACAGCCTGCCTGGCTGCGAGCAGATGGGCTCCGAAGGATCTTTCACCGGCGCTGAGGAGCGACTTCGGATGGGTATTTGGACACAGATCGACTGGCTCAGGCAGCAAAAACACATTTTGCCAGAGAAAAGCCAGTCCCAGCGGGTAAGAAGGTCCCTGGCCAGGCCCAGCCGAGGGGGAAAATGTTTTCTCCCAAAGGAGTCGCAGGGAAAGACGTCGGGGCAAATCCCTGTGGCTCCCCCAGCCTGGATTTCAGGCCTTGGCCCTGAGCTCCGAACCTGGACTCGATCCCTCGGCCTTGGCCCAGCCGCGATGAAAATAACCCGGCAGCAGCTGCTCGGGGAGCAGCGGGGGAAGCCGAGCTCGGTCTAAAGGGCAGAAATCCCAAGGGGAGAAGCAGGGAGGAGGTCACGGCTCGGCGCTCCCTTGCACCCGCGCAGGCGTCCTGGGCCACGAGGCCACCGTGCGACTCGCGGAGCCTTCCCCGGCCCTCCGAAAACGCCGCTCCAAGGGGCGGATCGGTGCAGGACGGCACCGAGAGACCCGCGTGGGCCACAGCCAAAGCCCTGGCCGGGAGAGGGGGAAAAAATCCCCCTGTGGAGGAGCGACAGGCCCTGTGTCTCGAGTGGTGGCATCGCTGCGGGCCCTGGAGCCTGGAAAAGGGGAGAAGGGGAGGCCTGGAGCAGCC